GAGTTACCGATCCAGAGTAACGCCAGACTGAGTAAGACTCAGAGCCCGAGTACAGAGGCTGAGATAGCTGAGATGAGTCGAGTACCTTATGCTTCCGCTGTAATCTCGATCATGTATGCTATGACTTGTACTCGTCCTGATGTGGCCTTTGTGTTGAGCATGGTCAGCAGATATCAGGGGAACCCTGGCAAGGCTCACTGGACTACAGTAAAGAACGTTCTCAAGTACCTGCGAAGGACTAAGGACTGGGTCCTTACCCTCGGAGGGAGTGATGACTTGAGGGTATTAGGGTATAGTGATGCTAGCTTCCAGACTGATAGGGATAATTTCCGCTCTCAGTCAGGCTGGGTCTTTACCTTAAACGGAGGAGCAATTTCTTGGAAAAGTTCCAAGCAGGAGACAGTGGCTGATTCAACTTGCGAATCAGAGTATACAGCGGCAAGCGAGGCAGGAAAGGAGGCTATATGACTAAAGAACTTCATTGGAGACCTTAGATTTGTACTAGCTATAAAGGAGCCTATAGAGATTTTATGTGATAGTGAAAGTGCAGTTGCCTTAGCCAAGGAACCAAGGGATCACGGGAGATCCAGACACATCGACAGAAAATACCATCTCATAAGACATCGAATAGAAGAAGGACTCCTCGTGGCAAAGAGGGTATCATCAGATGAGAACCCAGCTGATCCCCTCACGAAGGGACTGAGCAGGGTTAAAGCATCTCCAGCATGCGAGGCGCATAGAGCTGAAGGATGATATTAGTCTTAGTAGTTAGATAGCTTTGAAATGTGTAAAGCATAATTGACATTTGATGATGAATAAAAGTTGTGTTTATTTATGATTAAAGTGTTGGTATCTTTTGTCAATCGTTTACTATCGTTTCATTTTGCATGTTTTGACTTCCAGAATAATTATGTTATTGTATCTCATATTATTCAAATTCTCCACAGTCGGTCATATGTAGGAAGTAGATATGAATCAAGGCTGTCATGAGTTGGCTTGTAGATATCCAAGGTACTAGTCATAGCAAAGTGTTGCTACAACACTCATGAGTGCTCATAAGTTTTTAGTATTGGATTCAACCCACGCTCGCTGGTATCACTTCATGGAATTTATCTCGAGTGATCGCGAGACGGTAATATCATATAAGTCTTCAAACCTAGAGATATGACTTGTTGCCTATGAGTTGGTTATACATTGATTGTACGAAAACGCATTGGTAACTCGATCTTATAAAACGTGCCTTTGTGTATGATTCAACAAGTAGTAGAACAAGAATATGAGTCGAAGTTTATCTGTTCCTTCTTGGATTAGAAGCGATATATGGGCCCCTCGATGATTTTGTGTTGACCTATGTACCGGGCCCGATCAGAACTAAGTTGATGTGTTCAATTAAGTTCTATGTCAAACAAATCGGAAATCAGGAAACAAACTGATGGACAATAAGTAAGACATTGTTCCATGTATTTGTCCGGCTGATATCTAGAACAGAGGATTATATGATCACTTATCATAAATGGCGTATCATCATCATCTCAGTTCCGCAAGACCTTGAAAGAGCTACGATTGCTGATTGGTTCCTGAAGTCATTCTTGCAGTTATAGTTATTAGACTTATCCAAGTGAGAGACTGTTGGATTAGGTGTCTAAGTTCATAACTATTTCTGGAATGTACTTGACCCGATTAGCATGGTCCATTTGGGTTATATGGCATTGCAATACTTGGATAGACCAAATTGAGAGAAAGGACACTTAAGGTTTATTAATATATTATAAGTTCTAATATATTAATAATATTATTTAATTAGTATTGATCAAAGAATTAATTTGGAATTAATTAAGTGATCAAAAAGAGACTAATTAAATATATGGGGTTGATTATGTAAATCATTCATTCTTGTATAGTGGGCTAATGATCCATGGTTTGTATGGATTGGGTTAAAACGCATAAGGTACTCCATGGATAATCCATGGAGGTTACAAACCGATGGATCATGGAATATGGAAAGCCATGACAATTAGGGTTTACATGGTGTAACCCTACTTGTGCCACAACTGTATAAAGAACCCTATGCAAGCAAAATCGATGACTACTTGCACAAGATAGAGGGCAATCCGATTTTGAGGTGTTAGTGAACTTCTCTCAAGGTTATTCCAAGTGTTGTGGTGTTGTGTGAGACATTTGAGGCATCACACTTGAGGTGCTACGCCCACAAGGTTCTCAAGGAATCCAAACCACAAAAGGTATGCTCTTCTTCTAGCATTTATGTTTAAAAGTTACCCGTGCTATGCTAGATAGGATAAGAACTTTGGAAAATCAATTTTGCATGTATCTTAGTAAAACATAGATCCAATGTTTCTAGGGTTGCATGTACACCTTATGTTTTAATGGGAGAAAATATTCAAAAAACTATCCCAAAACAACGATAGTTTGAAATTAATTTCGGGCGGGTATTTCCAAGAGCATGATGATTAAAACGAAGACACGAATAGAATTGTAGTATATTTTTTATATTAATATCATCTTACCTTTTCGTATTTTTATTATTTATAGCATCTTACTTTTGTTTTAATTTTTCTATTATAGGATTATACTTTAAATATTATATTGTTTTTTTTTCTATTATGATATTGTACCTTTTAATATTTTTTTATTTGTAGCATCTTAGTTATGTTGTTTTCTTCTATTATATGTAAATTATAGCATCTTGCTTTTTTGTTTTCAAATTATAAAATTGTAATTTACATGTTGTGTAGTCTTGAGGGCTTGCCTAACTAAGTCATAACAAATTCACAAATCTATAAGGCTATGATTATTTCACATACACTTTACACACATATATATATAATATATACACACACATACACATCTCTCTCTCTCTCTCTTTATATATATATATATATATATATATATATATATATATATATACACATTATACACACATTCCTGATTGCATACAAACACACATATACATAAATTATACATAAATTTTTATTTGCATATATATACAAAAACACATATACACATATCAAATACCTACACATGTACCACATACACATACAATGATACACACATACGTAAGAATATTCACTGTTACCAAAAACACATAAACATATACCAAATACACATACATTCACTATTTCCAAATACGCATACACATATACCAAATACACACACATATATATTGCAATTAAACTGATACACATATGTTATGAACAAAATTAACAGTAAAACCATCTTCAAGTTAGAATGGTAGTGTTGCGGTGGTGGTGGTATTCGCTGGAGAAGGAGAAGACAATGGCGGTGTGGTATGCCCTAAAATCACAATGATATTACAATTAATTTGGAAATCTTGGTCACAGGTGAAAGTCAAAGAGAAAGAGAATGAGAAAGGAGGGAGGAGAGGCACAAACGTTGTCGGTGATGATTAAATTTCTCGCCGGTGGTTCCTGTGACATTATGGTGATAATGGACGCGGTTTAGCTTCAATCGGTGATTCGTCGGTCGAAATCGCCAGAGACATGATGTGATCTGAGAAATGAGAGGAAACCTCTGATGTAGTCAAGGGTTTTAGCGACGACGAGTATTAGCGGCGACAAACCCAAATTAGTGGAAACAAGCTGCGGTAAATGGATGGAACATTTTTGCGGTATTTTTTTAGGTATTAGCGGCGACAAAATTGTTGTTATTGATGTTGCCGAGAACTGAAAACCATCCGATGGATTGAGGTAAGTGATCAACGGATGGGGTGCTTCCTGGAACCATCACACGGACCTTGGTTTACTACCATTAGCGGTGACATCAAAACACGGAGTTTAGTTGTCGTTGCTATTGGTGGCGTCGCCGCTAATGATAGTATTTCTTGTAGCGTTGTTTATTCTATTACGTTGTTTATTTCATTCGAGATTAGGTCTTATCACCAAATAGACCTATGGTATTCGAGTAATAGCAAAAATGCAATTACAAGAAAAATTAGCACCGAAAAGTAATGGATTATTATTTTATATTTTTTGTATTATCTGATGAGCAAATTGAACTTCAATATATAGTGGCTCATTCAGCGGCTCCACTGGTACTCGTTTATTCGTATTATACAGCAAATTGTATTCTTCAAACAAAAAGTTTGGGACCTCCCATGGATATTGGATGAAGTCACTTTTTAAAATTTTATGTAATGTGTTTGAAAAGAATATTAGAATATAATATCCCATAAAAGAAGTTGATTTTTAAATATATATATTTATATTTATAACTTTATATATGGATTCTATCTTTAGCAATATCTTAAGTGGCCAACACAACTCCCAGAAAACATATTTGATCTAATTAGTCATGGGTTTTGACGTGTTTGATGTTTATATCCATGAATGTACTATCAAAGCATTGTAAATAATGCTTTTTAAATTATAGATAAAATATACATAGAAATCTATCACAGAATTATTATATACAGCAATTAAGAAGATCGATTATACTGTAAAATTTGACCAAAAAAGGAAGAAATATTTGAATTTCCGCCTAAAAGTTTTAATATACTTTGTTTTATGCTTGAATTTTGTCTTCCATGGCAATGGAATTCTTACAATGAGCAATAGCAGCTTGAATGGCAGCATGTAACTCTTCCATGGTGCTATCACTCGATGTGCTTTTGGCGGGGCTCACAGTTCCTGAAGCAAGAAGTATTCCACTATTTGCCGGAGAAGTTCTCATGGACGCTGGGGCTGAGAACTCGCCTCTCCTCCCACCACCTCTAGTCACTTGGAGCGGCAAACTGCTTTTGGAGCTCAGCAAGTTGCCGGAAAAAGAATGTGGCTGCCGGAAATTCATTATTTGACCTCTTCGCCTTTGGAAACGACAACAATGGCCTTACCATTTTCATGTACCTCTTGATAAGTTGAGCCACCTCTAATTTCAGCTTCTTCTTGGAATTACTGTTGTTTCTTTCTTTATCTTGGTCTTCATGATCTCTTTCTCTTTCATCAGCGCATCCTTTTTTTCCTTTGTTACGGCCAAACAACGAGAAAGATTTGGACTTTGGTCTGATTTTGATTGACATTGTTGCTGGTCAAGTTGAACTCTGAGAAAGTGTTCCGGTGGTGATAATGGAAACTAGTGTTTCCAATCGGGTTATGTTGGTCCTTTAGGATGTCCTTCGTTGGGAGGGTAAAACTATCCATTGAAGTTGTGGACGTACGAGGGGATATGGGAAGATGAGATAGGAGATGGAGAGGAAGGAGGTGGCCATGGAAGAAGATATCATCCGCCGGAGACAGGTCAATAGCAGTCAAGGGTTCCGATGGTGGTGTTGCGGTGTTACCATGTTTACGGTGGTTACTATCATCATAGTTGCCGGACTTATAACCATCTTGTTGCGATTTTTGTGCTGGATGGGGATGGAGAGAGATGGTGAAGGAGAATTCATGGGTAGGAGATGCCGATGCAGATGGTGGAGATGAGGTGGCCGTTGGTGGTGGAGATGAAGTCTGGATGCTTTCTTGTAGTATTGCTTCTTGCTTCTTCATGTAACTTTGTTCATTTTCCACTTTATCTCTCATATTTAAAACTTCCATGCTTCAAGTTTTAATATTGATCGATGATCGCATACACAGAAGGGATAAGGAGAGAGAGAGAGAGATGTGAGTGTGTGTTGGCAGAGAGAATGAGAACAAGTATAGTTAGGTGCCGAATACTTGAGTCTTTTGTCCATATAAGAAAAGGTTGTGGTGGATTGAAAACCATGAGACAGGGGGATCTAATCAAAATTAAATTAAATAAAAAACATTTTTATGCATGTCCTTTTCAATCTTACAGCTATAATAAAATGCAAATCTATGAAAATAATGAACTTCTAATTTGATATAATTCTATTTTTAATGAAAAAATACAATAAGAAAGACCCAAAATTTACCACTATCTTCCATATATGCTCATTTATTCGAATGAACCCAAAATTACCAATATCTACCTACTTGTAATTACTTGAATGGTTATATAAGAAACTACATTATGTTCAATGCAGCATATAGAGAGAAAAGTGAAATATTATTTGCACTAGATCTATCGGGAAATCGATCTTGAGCGTCGGATGTACTTGAACTGTTGTGATTATATGAGGTTTTATGTTTTATAACAATTCATTTATATTTCTATATGAGCGTAATCTTCTATCTCAATTATATGCTAAATATAGGACCCTACTCCAATTATGAAGACCTGGTTATTGATGTGTTTTTTGTTGGCCTTTACAATATTAGTTGTCATTTGTATATTGTGGCTTCATTTGTAATTTTGTATAATAATAATTAAGGTTTACACTAAAAAAAATACAGGTATTACCGGTGACACCAATAGCGGCAACAACACCTTTAGCGACGACAAATCGAAAAGTCGCCGGCCACCGGAAACTTCCCCTCTCCGGCCAACAGCGCTGTTGCTGCTGTCGATTTCCTTCTCCCAAGTTCGTGTTTCCTTCCCCATCTCTTCATTTCTTTCTATTTTAATGTCGATTTCCATAAGAATTTGTGATTAATTGCATTTTTGTTTTCAAAAGCTTTTTTCCTCTCCGGTCACCACCACTACCGTCGGCTGTTGCTGTCACCGACATCAACTACCACCACCACTATACCAACTACTGATTCTTGGACACCACAGATTCTATTTATTGATTTTGGAGATTAATTGTAAACATATGTTTATTTGATCTATATGTGGCATATGTGTGTATTTGTTAATTGCAAAAATATGTGTATTTGATGTATATATATTGTGACAACCGTCAAAATTCGAGTCGGTTCTAGATTTGATAAACTTAGTTGCACATATAGGCACGACACATACTAGGCTTGGTAACTAGAAGCTAAGTTATACCCTACTAGAAACTTGGAAACAAGTAGAATCAAAGGATACAATGTGACAACTGTCAAATTCAAGTCATTCCCGGACTCATTCAACTTTTTATAAACCATATACGCACATCATTCCATGAACTAGTAGTATAAATTATGTCAAAATCTTGTATAAACTAGGATCCAACTAAAATCTATGACTAATATACTTGACTCATACGATTCTAATAAGTTGTCTAGCTACTGTAGGAAATGTTAATACCCGAATTAGAATGAACTCCAAACATTGGTTACAATTGAAAAAGAGTATAAAACCCTAAAAGTAAATTAAAATCTTCTAATTTCATTTCAATATGATGGTAAATATCTAACAAAGTTCCAAAAGCCCTAAAGAGCCCAAAAATCAAAATTTATAAACTTTAAAACCTAAAAACTCTATAAGATTTGTTATGAACTTCATTATATCAAATTTAAATAAATAAGTTATGAGATATTATCAAAGACATAAAAATTTAATTATCAAACATTAATCATAATTTATTAGTAAAAAAAAGATTTTTAATAAATCAAGAATTAAATAAAGAAGCCTTTTTATAAAAATTGGGAGGGGTTTTATAAAAATTTAAGGGGAAATTATATAAATTTGAATTAGGAGAGAGAGAAACTCTCTTATACTCATAAAATTCGTCCACCCTCTCTCTCATACTCTTTTTTCCCTAAAACTTCAATCATTAAATCAATTCTTACACTTCACATCCCTCTCTACAATCTCTCTCACACTCCACCAATTACCACACTCAAACTCTCTCATTTTCTCTCCAAACCCACAAAATTCTCCAGCCAAGAACACCTCTCAACCTTCAAATCTTCATCTTCTATGGTTGTTCTTCAACGTAATCACAAAAATCCTTCATTTTCCTTCACTTTTCTTTCTTGTTTTAAAGGTTTTTCTTGCACTTCTCATTCTTCTACACCATTCTTTATGAACATTCATGAACATATCCAGGAATGTCGAGTTTGATGATGGTGGTGGTAGGGTTTCATCCAAGAACAACATGCATGTTGTAAATGGTGAAATCCAAGGACCTAAACCTAAGTCAAGATCATGAAAATGCACTTTTCTACAAGTTTTGGTGGAAAATCACCACATGTACTCTAAGTTTTCTTTCAAAAATGATTTTTGAACATTTCAAACACATGATTGGTCTTCAAACCAACATGCATGTAATGTTCTTCAAGCTTAGAGGTTTGATTCATCAAAGTTTGTTGTTAAAAAGCATTCAAATAGGTTCATAAAGGATTTATTCCCAAATAAATATCTAAAACTTATTTTCTGATCAAATCCGATTTTTCCTAGAATTCCATCAACAAAATGAGATGTTCCACAAATTTTCAGAAAATAGTTCATTTTTCTCGAATTATTATAATTATTGCAAGAAAATAGGGCAATAATTCATATAACATACTTTCTGAGGTCTATAAATCATAGGTAAATTTGTGGATGACCCCTAAAGTGAATGATGACAGCTCAGTGAGTTTCATCGATTTTTGTTACTGTTTGCTATGGTTTTGAATTTTCTTTTTGTTTAATTCAAATAAATCATAACACCACTTTCACCATGTGAAAAGGGTATCTAATAATTTCCGTAGCTCCTACCCTATGTGTAAGACTCAGAAACATATTTTCAGAATTTTTCATAATGCATTCCTATTTTTCCCCGATTTTTGTATTTATAATGGACTAATAATGGGAAAAATACTTCTACTCATAAAAAATTCATGAAAATGTACCAGAAGATCCTATAATATATTGGAACTCCAAATAAAAATTTGGATGATTTTTATGTTCAGTATGCTATTTTTCTTCTATTTTCTAAGAGTAAATACACTTAAATCCACCAAATCGGATTCCAATAGATAAAAACCATCTTTTGTATTTTTCCTAGATTATTTACACTGTAAATGAAGTTTACAATAATTTTGGTAATTTACTTTAACTGTTTAATAATTATTCTTCAGTTAATGATTATTTAAGAGGGTATAACAGTAATTTCACTTTTATTCAAAAAGGAATGAAACCATTTTGGTTACATGAGACTGAGAATTGTTCAAAGTTGCCCCTCTAGCCACCCTCTAGCCACCGTGACATTTATCTTTGGCAATCAATCCCTATACCATAAACAAAATAGAGAAAAAGACTAAATGGTCCTTGTATTTTCTACATATTTACAAAATTAACATTATATATGATATATATATATATATATATATATATATATATATATATATATATATATATCTTCCTAATAAAAACCTCTCTAAGGTGCCACATGTCTCTCTTTTAATCCACCTTCTTGCCACGTGTCACTCCTTTAGCATTTTACTCCCTAATTTTCCCGCCCATACCTCATTGCTTCAATCGACCAATCATGTCCTAGAAATCAGCTTTTCAGTTTTCATTATTTGAAGGGATTTGATCTTATATCCAAAAATACCTACAATCAAAACCATAGTAATAATTATAAATAAGTCAACCGCATTTAATCTGAAAATATCCTTTAAATCTTTCCTATATTCAATCATAGTATCCTTTAAACCAACAATTCAGTTTTCAAACATATTTACTCTATCCCTTAAAATCTGCATTTATTTTTTGAATTTATTTATGTTATACCAAATATACATCCTGTTGATATCATTTATAAAAGCCTAACCCCAAAACAAGTTTATTTTGTTTGGAATTTCATCTTCTTTTTGCGTCTTTATCTTTTGATTCCAATCACGGTCTACACCAATGGAAAATACCATATTCATTCACAGGAGTTTAATCAATCCGGTAAGTTTATAAAAAAACTACTTTCAAATGATTTGTTTTTGTTTTGTTTCTTCTCGTGTTGTTCTTTTTCTATGTGTGTTTTTTTTCCACATTAGTTTCCATATTGTAGTGTATGTGTGTGTGTTTATATTCCTGTTTATGCATGCCTATGTTACTATGCGTGTTGCTTTTTTCTGAAAAAAAATTATTATTTTTGATGGTAAATTTCTGTTCCTGTTTAGATATGTTGCTTTTTTTTATGAAAATAAAATGAAAACTTTATTTTTTAGCATCTTACATTCACAATCATCGCCTTTATAGCATTGCACTTTAAAAGTTGTTGTGTCTGAGTGTGTGTCATGGTCGATTTCTGTTCCGGTTTGTGTGTATATGTTAATGTGTTTGTATATATGTTCTTAATATATTTCCTCATAACTTATGATATTTTTTTACACGTATAACAACCTACTTTGACTTAAAATCTTATCACTTATTGTTATTTTCTTGAATTAACTTATTATATTTCAATTTACATGTATAGCAACCTACTATGACTGAAAATTACAATATAAAAATTCCATTTTATACCAACTTTCTTCCAAAGTCGAAAGTGTGTGTGTGTGTTTCGGATCCTGTATGATGTTTATTTGTGTTTTTCTGTTATTTTCAACTGTGATGTTTATCTATGCTTTTCTATTTTTCTGTAAAAAGGTTGATTTGGTATGATGAAATGGAATTAGAAAAAGATATGGAATGATCTGTTATTATATTATGTTTGTGTTAATGTATTTACGTACTAAAATGGCTTAATAAGAAAAAACAAATAATGATTTTTTTGGAAAACAATCAATTTATGACAATTATAGCAATGTACTTTCAAAACACATTGTTATAAATTTAAGTCGAAGTT